CACAGACGAGGAACGTAGTTCCATTTCTTATAATCTGATTTGTTAGCTACCCTGACAGGTTGGGCCTTCAGCTTATGCACCCTGCTGCTGACCGCCAATAGCTCTTCATATATACAGCAACATACAACACAAACCTTAGTCGACTCAAATGGATCCTGGATTCTTTTTTCTTTTTTCTTTTTTCTTTTTTCTTTTTTCTTTGGAGCTTCTAAAATACAATATGTACTTAACTGCTTGATATCTAAAAAAAATTAGAATGCTATTTTACCAACATAATTTTAGTGCTCTCTTTAAACAGCAATAACATACCAAAGTCCGAAGCATGCTTCATTAACATACAGAGGCAAAGATACTGAAAATAGAGGCCTAAAATATGTAGGCTAAATCTTTATGTGCACTGACATGGCTAATTAAAAGGTATTGGAGCATTGGACCAATTTTACATGTTAGCGGAAGTAGAGGAACCAAGTTAGACTTATCCCAAGCCTTTGACGGCTAATGGTTGGCTCCCTCATCAACGAAACATCAACTATTTTTTGGCTCTTCCATCCTTCTAAAAAATAAGAGCTACTACCCTAGTGTAATACACTCATTGCAAACATTCACTACTTAGTTTCAAATTATGACTGGAGAATGACTAAATAACGTTTGGCATGAACGTCACCTGCTGTAGCAGTTCTTCCATCGAAGAAAAAGGGGACCAGTCAAGTATTATCTTTAGGCTACTATCCCAATCACCCTGTGAACCATAAACCAAAGGTGCTATTTGGCCATCTTGGACCTCAAAATCAAGCTGAACAGTGAAGGGAGATGTCAGCTATAGACAGGCAAGGCTGCATCAAAGAAATACTGCTGGACCAACTTGACATACCATGGGGACAACAATGTCATCCTTCATTGTTCTCCTCAGGAAAGTGTAAGAGAGCAAACCAATACTCAAGGTAACTTTACTGCAGGACAAAACAATTGTGTGACAATCATTAACAAATACAAAAGACTGAACAAAAAATCACGAGCTCTTCCAAAAAGATCAATAATAACTGGAATGATAATACTTACCTTTCACGTATTGCACGAGTAAAAACAATTGCGTCAGCACCGAGTCTCATTGTGCTTGTCTTAAAGCCATTTCCATCTGCAGAGTAGCAAAAGGTTAGAGTTTAGCCAACAATAGGCACAGCAAGTGTTACTTTTTTCAAAAAACATAAATCAGTTGTATACTGCATGACCTTTTTTTGTTACAATATATGAACTAGAACTTCTCAGAAAATATTTCAGATTTGAAATTGCATGGACATTTCAAACCTGAAATGAAGGGCTTAAGTTGTGTAATACCGTCTACAAATTGGTGATACAAGGTAAGGCCACTTATTATTGTAAAGAATAGAGCCTAAGAACTGTAGCTCGGCTTAGTATTTTAATATTCTAAGGTTTCCAAAATCTACTAGTTACCAAGAGGCATTGAGGAATTAATCCATCTTTTGATAGGGATAAATCGACATCAAGATGTTTCGAGTGCCACTTAAACTTGAATAAACAACGTTTTTGCATTCCTTGCACCACAACCACAGTCCATCAATATAAGCTAACAACAAAAAGGTGCATTTAAAATGGTTTAGTGAGTAATTGATTCAAGCATAGCACATAGTACCATCAGACAGGACGCCATTATGTACAACGGTATAACACAAAATCATAAGCAACACATGCTTATGTTGAATGAAATAATTAAACTAAGATAGCATGCCAAAAGTATTAAAAGAAGAAATGATGCATACACTGGCCAATGGTTGTCTTTGACTTTTTGGTTGAGAATCCTAGGCTCATGCACTGGCGCACCCCTTCGGGATCCATTCCTCCTCCATCGTCTGTTAGAATAGCCCCAATGAGCAGGAATTTACATAGGAAACATTAAGGATCAACCCCCAACCAATTCCAAGTTGTGTTCATTCTCTTGTTTTGTACTGAATCTGGATACCTTGAAAAACTAGCATTGGACTGTTGTCTTTCGTGTTGGTGCTTTTATCCACTTTTATGAATGTGGCACCATTGCAGATCTGGGACAAGAAAACCATATATCTGATCAGATCTATTCGCAACATTGTATCAGCAAGATCAGACGATTTTAGGGCATAAACAACGCTGAAGCCAAATAAATCTAGTTCATATTACAAACCTCATCTACCGCATTGTCAAGAAGTTCAGATATAGCTGCACAACAAGAGAGGAATTGTTAGACAAATACTTTACATGGTGGCAGAAGTATCTTGAACACCAAACATAAAGAGAAGTACCAGACCGTCTAGTTTTTCTATGATCTAATCCAGCAAGCATTTTAACAGCAAGCATTTGATTTCTACTCAGTGGTCAAACTATACTCTTCCCCAAAAGGAAACACCAAAGAAGTGAGAACGGATAGCATGTGTTCTTCAGTATTATCAGTGCAACCAAGAACCTCAGATAAACCAGCACGCAATTCATCTCATCTCCCCTCAGGCCAGATATGGTAACAAAAGCAGCAAGCAGTTCATCTTCTAGTCACCCGGCATCCTTCGTTAGAACAAACTGAAGTGCATTAAGCAATTTCACCTCCACAGCAGACCAAATCAGAGAATGGATGGGGGCAAGGGTGAAGGGGAAGGGGAAGGGGGCGAACCTCCGAACGCCCACTTGTGGGAGGTGGCGTTGGTGTGGAGGAACTTGGGGTGCACGCGGGCGCGGTCGAAGTCCCCTGTCTCCAGCGCATCTGAGACCAGGCAGAGGAAACTGGCGTCGGGATTTCGCGGAGACCAGGGGAGGATGGGGATCGAGGAGACGAACCGTGGAACTCGCGGATGGGGGCGGAGGGGCCCTCGCTGGCGCCGGCCTTCCAGAAGCTGCGGCAATCCAGGGATCGACCGCCGCCGTCGACGCCGGCCATCACCGCCGGCATCCGAGGGGCGAGGTGGTTTTTTTCTTTTCTTGTGACCTCGCGAATAGTGAAGGGGTTAGCTTAGTACTCTGCTGGTAAATTTCGAAGCTATGGATAGGGGCATGTGCAAAATAGTGA